AATCATTTTCTTGGTCCCAAAAATTTTTTTTTTATTAAAAAATCTTAAAAATGTCAAAAGTGATTCGTCTTGAGAGATGAAATCGAGCAGGCAAATAATCAGGAAGCCAAAGAACTTATTTTAAATTACGTCTCCTGGGAAACTTACATTTCAAGTGAAAAATTGAAAAAAAAGACAAATAAAAATAATTTTTTTGGTTCCACAAATTTATTTTTCATTAAAAACTCTTGCAAATATCAAAAGTGATTCGTCTTGAGAGATGAAATCGAGCAGGCAAATTATCAGCAAGCCAAAGAACTCATTTCAACTGTCGTCTCCAGGTACACTTAGATTTATAGTGAAAAATTGATAAAAATAACATTTAAAAATCATTTTCTTGGTCCCAAAAATTTATTTTTTATTAAAAAATCTTAAAAATGTCAAAAGTGATTCGTCTTGAGAGATGAAATCGAGCAGGCAAATAATCAGCAAGCCAAAGAACTCATTTTAAATTACGTCTCCTGGGAAACTTACATTTTAAGTGAAAAATTGAAAAAAAGACAAATAAAAATCATTTTTTTGGTCTCAAAAATTTATTATTTATTAAAAACTCTTGCAAATCTCAAAAGTGACTCGACTTGAAAGATGATATCGAGCAAGCAAATAATTAGCAAGCTAAAGAACTCACTTCAACTAACATCTCCTGGAACACTTACATTTATAGCGAAAAATTGAAAAAAAAAAACAAATAAAAATAATTTTTTTGGTCCCAAAAATTTATTTTTTATTAAAAAATCTTGCAAATGTCAAAAGTGATTCGTCTTGAAAGATGAAATCGAGCAGGCAAATAATCAGCAAGCCAAAGAACTTATTTTAAATTACGTCTCCTGGGTAACTTACATTTTAAGTGAAAAATTGAAAAAAAAGACAAATAAAAATCATTTTTTTGGTCCCACAAATTTATTTTTCATTAAAAACTCTTGCAAATATCAAAAGTGATTCGTCTTGAGAGATGTAATTGAGCAGGCAAATAATCAGCAAGCCAAAGAACTCATTTCAACTGTCGTCTCCAGGTACACTTAGATTTATAGTGAAAAATTGATAAAAATAACATTTAAAAATCATTTTCTTGGTCCCAAAAATTTATTTTTTATTAAAAACTCTTGCAAATATCAAAAGTGATTTGTCTTGAGAGATGTAATTGAGCAGGCAAATAATCAGTAAGCCAAAGAACTCATTTGAACTTTCGTCTCGAGGGACACTTAGATTTATAGTGAAAAATTGATAAAAATAACATTTAAAAATCATTTTCTTGCTCCCAAAAATTTATTTTTTATTAAAAAATCTTGCAAATCTCAAAAGTGACTCGACTTGAAAGATGATATCGAGCAAGCAAATAATTAGCAAGCCGAAGAACTCACTTCAACTTACGTCTCCTGGAACACTTACATTTATAGCGAAAAATAGAAAAAAAACAAATAAAAATAATTGTTTTGGTCCCAAAAATTTATTTTTTATTAAAAAATCTTGCAAATGTCAAAAGTGATTCGTCTTGAAAGATGAAATCGAGCAGGCAAATAATCAGCAAGCCGAAGAACTTATTTTAAATTACGTCTCCTGGGAAACTTACATTTTAAGTGAAAAATTGAAAAAAAAGACAAATAAAAATCATTTTTTTGGTCCCACAAATTTATTTTTCATTAAAAACTCTTGCAAATATCAAAGTGATTCGTCTTGAGAGATAAAATCGAGCAGGCAAATAATCAGCAAGCCAAAGAACTCATTTGAACTTTCGTCTCCAGGGACACTTAGATTTATAGCGAAAAATTGAAAAAAAAGACAAATAAAAATCATTTTTTTGGTCCCACAAATTTATTTTTCATTAAAAACTCTTGCAAATATCAAAGTGATTCGTCTTGAGAGATAAAATCGAGCAGGCAAATAATCAGCAAGCCAAAGAACTCATTTGAACTTTCGTCTCCAGGGACACTTAGATTTATAGCGAAAAATTGGTAAAAATAACATTTAAAAATCATTTTCTTGGTCCCAAAAATTTTTTTTTTATTAAAAAATCTTAAAAATGTCAAAAGTGATTCGTCTTGAGAGATGAAATCGAGCAGGCAAATAATCAGGAAGCCAAAGAACTTATTTTAAATTACGTCTCCTGGGAAACTTACATTTCAAGTGAAAAATTGAAAAAAAAGACAAATAAAAATCATTTTTTTGGTTCCACAAATTTATTTTTCATTAAAAACTCTTGCAAATATCAAAAGTAATTCGTCTTGAGAGATGAAATCGAGCAGGCAAATTATCAGCAAGCCAAAGAACTCATTTCAACTGTCGTCTCCAGGTACACTTAGATTTATAGTGAAAAATTGATAAAAATAACATTTAAAAATCATTTTCTTGGTCCCAAAAATTTATTTTTTATTAAAAAATCTTAAAAATGTCAAAAGTGATTCGTCTTGAGAGATGAAATCGAGCAGGCAAATAATCAGCAAGCCAAAGAACTCATTTTAAATTACGTCTCCTGGGAAACTTACATTTTAAGTGAAAAATTGAAAAAAAGACAAATAAAAATCATTTTTTTGGTCTCAAAAATTTATTATTTATTAAAAACTCTTGCAAATCTCAAAAGTGACTCGACTTGAAAGATGATATCGAGCAAGCAAATAATTAGCAAGCTAAAGAACTCACTTCAACTAACATCTCCTGGAACACTTACATTTATAGCGAAAAATTGAAAAAAAAAAAACAAATAAAAATAATTTTTTTGGTCCCAAAAATTTATTTTTTATTAAAAAATCTTGCAAATGTCAAAAGTGATTCGTCTTGAAAGATGAAATCGAGCAGGCAAATAATCAGCAAGCCAAAGAACTTATTTTAAATTACGTCTCCTGGGTAACTTACATTTTAAGTGAAAAATTGAAAAAAAAGACAAATAAAAATCATTTTTTTGGTCCCACAAATTTATTTTTCATTAAAAACTCTTGCAAATATCAAAAGTGATTCGTCTTGAGAGATGTAATTGAGCAGGCAAATAATCAGCAACATAAAGAACTCATTTCAACTGTCGTCTCCAGGTACACTTAGATTTATAGTGAAAAATTGATAAAAATAACATTTAAAAATCATTTTCTTGGTCCCAAAAATTTATTTTTTATTAAAAACTCTTGCAAATATCAAAAGTGATTTGTCTTGAGAGATGTAATTGAGCAGGCAAATAATCAGTAAGCCAAAGAACTCATTTGAACTTTCGTCTCGAGGGACACTTAGATTTATAGTGAAAAATTGATAAAAATAACATTTAAAAATCATTTTCTTGCTCCCAAAAATTTATTTTTTATTAAAAAATCTTGCAAATCTCAAAAGTGACTCGACTTGAAAGATGATATCGAGCAAGCAAATAATTAGCAAGCCGAAGAACTCACTTCAACTTACGTCTCCTGGAACACTTACATTTATAGCGAAAAATAGAAAAAAAACAAATAAAAATAATTGTTTTGGTCCCAAAAATTTATTTTTTATTAAAAAATCTTGCAAATGTCAAAAGTGATTCGTCTTGAAAGATGAAATCGAGCAGGCAAATAATCAGCAAGCCGAAGAACTTATTTTAAATTACGTCTCCTGGGAAACTTACATTTTAAGTGAAAAATTGAAAAAAAAGACAAATAAAAATCATTTTTTTGGTCCCACAAATTTATTTTTCATTAAAAACTCTTGCAAATATCAAAGTGATTCGTCTTGAAAGATAAAATCGAGCAGGCAAATAATCAGCAAGCCAAAGAACTCATTTGAACTTTCGTCTCCAGGGACACTTAGATTTATAGCGAAAAATTGGTAAAAATAACATTTAAAAATCATTTTCTTGGTCCCAAAAATTTATTTTTTATTAAAAAATCTTAAAAATGTCAAAAGTGATTCGTCTTGAGAGATGAAATCGAGCAGGCAAATAATCAGGAAGCCAAAGAACTTATTTTAAATTACGTCTCCTGGGAAACTTACATTTCAAGTGAAAAATTGAAAAAAAAGACAAATAAAAATCATTTTTTTGGTTCCACAAATTTATTTTTCATTAAAAACTCTTGCAAATATCAAAAGTGATTCGTCTTGAGAGATGAAATCGAGCAGGCAAATTATCAGCAAGCCAAAGAACTCATTTTAACTGTCGTCTCCAGGTACACTTAGATTTATAGTGAAAAATTGATAAAAATAACATTTAAAAATCATTTTCTTGGTCCCAAAAATTTATTTTTTATTAAAAAATCTTAAAAATGTCAAAAGTGATTCGTCTTGAGAGATGAAATCGAGCAGGCAAATAATCAGGAAGCCAAAGAACTTATTTTAAATTACGTCTCCTGGGAAACTTAGATTTATAGCGAAAAATTGATAAAAACAACATTTAAAAATCATTTTCTTGGTCCCAAAAATTTATTTTTTATTAAAAAATCTTAAAAATGTCAAAAGTGATTCGTCTTGAGAGATTAAATCGAGCAGCCAAAGAACTCATTTTAAATTACGTCTCCTGGGAAACTTACATTTTAAGTGAAAAATTGAAAAAAAGACAAATAAAAATCATTTTTTTGGTCTCAAAAATTTATTATTTATTAAAAACTCTTGCAAATCTCAAAAGTGACTCGACTTGAAAGATGATATCGAGCAAGCAAATAATTAGCAAGCTAAAGAACTCACTTCAACTAACGTCTCCTGGAACACTTACATTTATAGCGAAAAATTGAAAAAAAAAAACAAATAAAAATAATTTTTTTGGTCCCAAAAATTTATTTTTTATTAAAAAATCTTGCAAATGTCAAAAGTGATTCGTCTTGAAAGATGAAATCGAGCAGGCAAATAATCAGCAAGCCAAAGAACTTATTTTAAATTACGTCTCCTGGGAAACTTACATTTTAAGTGAAAAATTGAAAAAAAAGACAAATAAAAATCATTTTTTTGGTCCCACAAATTTATTTTTCATTAAAAACTCTTGCAAATATCAAAAGTGATTCGTCTTGAGAGATAAAATCGAGCAGGCAAATAATCAGCAAGCCAAAGAACTCACCAGTTATATAACACATTCGGTTCCGTTTTGGTGCGGGGAAATGTTTCTCCCATCAATGATGGCATTCTCCTCTGTTTTAAAAAAATGCAATCAATAAGAAGAAATGCTTATGAAATTTGAAAATCTGACAGGATGAAGGTAAGATCCGATGAGAGAAATTAAAAATTTAAACACTTAAGAAAAAATTATGAAAAGCTTACTTTGCAGAAGAGACAATTCGCCATCATTTCGTTCCAATTGTTCTAGGGTACGTGCTTCGCCCAGGATTGAAAACCAAGGACAACGCATTTTTCGCATTTGACAACCTCGCGTGCCACGAATAGGTAGTGCTTCATTTTTGGAAAATTGTTGATGCAATGATGAAAATTGTCCCTACATTGTTTTCTTTATACAATTTTCCTATGATCAATTAATTCGGCCGCTTCATGAAACTTTTATACTGATGCTGAAATTTTTTTTGTTATTTAAATAAAAATAAGAAAAGAATATTTTAATAGAATAAAAACAAATTCCAGCGTTCTACAATTTATTATTAAAAAATTATTATTTACAGATTAAATTTTACTACTTTTGAGGAAAAATTTTCGAATTTTTATTAAAGAAATTTTTTTCAAAAATAGTGAAAGCTAATTTAAAAATAGCAATTTCTAATAGATCAATTTAATTATTAATTTAATTTCATTCTAATAGTAATTTTTATTTTTTTATCAAAACAGATTTAATTTAATTTTCCGTATATCAAAAAAATTTCTCAATGAAAAAGAGAAACATTTTTGATTAGTGTAAAACACGAGAAATTGATTCTTATTTTTAAAAAAAGATAAAAATATTCAATGCAGAAAAAGTTATAAAAATTTATTTAATAAAAATTTTCATTCTATTATTTTTAAAGGTTATGAATTGAAAAAAAAATTTCCTAGTTTATATTTATATTTTTTTAATAACTAATTATTTAATTTGTTTCCATATTTAAATTATTTATTGAATCAATGAATTAAAAGAAGCTTTATGTAAAATTCTTTTTTTTTTTAACATAACCACTTTTTAGATTTGTTTTCTTATTACAAAACATTTTTTTTACTTACCAATATAAAAATATTTGTCACCTCACTTTAATCACTAACTTTTTTTCACCATTCATTACCATTTTTTAAAAATTTTAATGTATTTTTAACTTTAATGTAATGGTAAACATTAAACTGTTTAATGTTTACAACGATGACCAACGATGACATCAAAACACACGTCAATTTTTTAGGCATGGGATATAGAAACTCAAGTTTGACAATAAATTATCATTTTTCTGCAGCAACTTCAGGGGGAAGGCATTCGTACGTTCTACTGTATATTGAGAAATAGGGGGGGGGGTTTAAGCAAACCTTCCTTTTTCTCTTCTCTCTACGACGATTACACATATTTTGAGTATACATTTGACGAAATTGTCATTATAGAATAAGATTTCGTAGATAAGTCAAAATCATTCATAATGGTCATTCATACTACTAACTCTTTCCGGTAATCTCTAGTACATTCTTCCGTGTTTTTATAGATAATATACAATATTGTCGATGTTTTTTTTAAAGCGATACGCTTAATTTACAATACTTTTTTATTTGCTTATTTATTTATACATTTTTAATTTCTTCCTCTTTCATATATTTACTCTTTATTCAGTCAATAAAATATATTAAAATATATTGTTCAAATTTAGCATTAGTCATAAATGTGGCTCAATAATCATTTCCAGTATGAGAAAGGGTTATCATTCAAGAAAGTGATATTTCACCGCATTATGGCCATGTCAATTTAATTATGGTTCTCTAACTATGTCAAATAGATCTACCTTTATTGGTATTCATTCATTTACTCTACCTATTCGCTCCATTCTTGACACTTGCAATTCTGCCTCCCGTTCCCCCCATCCCCTCCTCTTCCCAAAAAACCCCGAGAGGCAATGAAAAGGTCAGGGATGACAAAGCCCCCCAATTGAGGGACAATATATGTTAAATTAAGGGACAGCACAGAATTCAAAAATAAAGAAAAATAAGAAAAAATAACAGGTGACACAACAAAAAATCCAGATGTTCATTACATAAACATTTTGCTTCCTCTTTACGATCAGCAAAAAAATTAACGATAAATATATTTCATTTTTAAATCATTTTTAATACAATTTAACATTTATAAAATAAAGTTCATTCGTCTTAATAGAAAGAATAAAACTTTCTTATACTGTAATATGAATCTAAATAAACAAAAAATTTTTAGTAAAAAAGTGAATTTTTCAAATTTGATTGTAATTATTTCTACAATTTTCAATAGAATATATACTTTACATACATCAATCGATTCGTCTTGATGCAAAGAATAAGATTTTTAATTTATTTTTCAATAAATAATAACATTTTATTGTAAAGCAACATGATTTTTAAGAAAAATGAATTTTTATTAAAAGTGCAAATTTTTTGTCTATAATTGGTTTTAATTCTATAAATTTAAATACAATATATACTTTATATATACCAATCGATCCGTCTTGGAGCAAAGAATAAGATTTTAGAAACAAATGAGTAAGATTTTCTTATATGGCAACATAATTTTGCGGAAAGAACTCATTTTTTGATAAAAACGCGAATTTTTCAGCTTTAATGGTGATTAACTCTGTAAATTCTCATACAATTTATACTTTTTATATACCAATCGATTCGTCTTGATGCAAAGAATAAGATTTTATTATATATTAACTTCAATAACCAACTTAAAAAAAAATTTTTTTTAGAAAAGAGTCAAAAAAAAATTTTTTTCTGAGAATTTTTTAAAGTTTATCAATCCATTTCGAGATATTTTTATGATAAATATACCTGGTAAATTTTAGCCAAATTCGTTAAAACCTCTTCGAGTTATCGTGTTCACAAAAATCGGGATCCACATACACACATCCATACATACATCCGGACAATTGTTCAGGGTCTTATATAACATAGTCCTATATAAAAGAAAATTTGTTAAAAGGATTTTTAAAAATTTTGTAAATTAAATGACTACAAAGCTTCCTCCACGAGGAAGCAAAATAGAGAAAAAAATAAGAAAAAAAGGTGTGTATTCAGGAGACTACTCATACTCTCCTCTCTCACTTAGTCCGTGTTCAACCACCAATATTTAAATGCTAATTTAGTTTTGTTCATAGATCTTACATCTCTAGCTGATAATCTTATAGAATATCTAGATTCTATCAATTTATTATTAAAATCGTTCTCATTGTATTTAATCTTTCTATCTCTAGCCTGCCTTAGTTAATGATACAGTATGGGTATTCCTCCCTCATTCATAATAAAACCCCTTCTATCTAAATATAAAAATGTTTCTGGTGCTAGATTGCCGCTTGTTACTAATTTTATTAATTCATTCTCATTTTGCAAAAAGGGTGTTGGTATAAGATAGGGTTGATATTGTTTTTTGATGCCCTCAAAATGTGGTCTCTTATAAGACCAATAATGAAGACATCAATTCTTGAAATATTTGCCAGATTGTATAGCTTTTGGTTCGATATATGCTTCTCAAAGTCTGACTCCGCGTCCCGGACAATTCCCAAGCAGGTGCGGAGGCAGCTCCTTTCGAAAATTCTAATTTTCTCCATATATGAGGGTGAAATCCCATACCAAATCTGGCACCCATACGTAATGATTGGACGAATTAACAATTGATAACAAATTATTTTTACCCTAGCCGTAAGTTTCGATGATAAAAAAATGTTTTTGTAATGAAAGAATGCTTTTCTTGCTTTTTCTAGTGTAATGTTTACGTGTTCATTAATTTTTTTTGTCATTTCGTCAATCAAGGGTCTGAATACCCGGTAAGAAACGAGGAATGGAAAAAGATTAAATTTCCAGAAATATTCTGTTAAATGAGGATTTTTTAATCTTTCTGAATAGGCGAATTTCCAAAAAAAAACAATTCCTCTGTGAACAGCAAATTATCAGAAAAATTAATTCTTCTCTATTGCTCGTGTCAATGAGATGATAAAAAAGAATAGACCTTTCCATTTAAGAAATCTGTACTGCGCAAGCGCGGAATATATATATAGAACTTCCGACAAAGTTTCGAGCACTTTTTGTACAAAATGCACAGTGCCAATGTGAAAAGTAATTAAAAAATATTACTAATGAATGTAGAAAAAAAAATTAGCGTGTATTAAAAATGAGCAGTATCCCTGAGAAAAATAATCCACAAAGGAAAAAAATTGATGCACAAAAAAAATGTTTTGGGAATTGCAAAAGTGATACTCGTTGCAAGTCTTATTTGACTGAAAATTATTACTTTATTTCTTTCCCAAAACCGTTTAACAGTTAGAAAATGAAATATTAGGAATGAAAATATTCGAAGTAATTGCAAAACTTGTCAAGTATGTCAAAAATGAGACCTGTTGGTAAGGTTATGTTCATAACATAATCTTATTTACATGTAAACAATGTAGACTTTTTTACCCTTTAAACACTGTCTTCGTCTTTATAACCATATGTTTAATTAACAGACAGTATTTTTCTCTACCTGTTCAAACATTAATTTTGCTTTTAAAATGTCATTTTCATCGAGTTTTTTATTTGAATTGTTATTAGCACAATATACATTCCTCGATACATTCTGACACAAAGTTGCTTGAAAATTTTGAAATCGCGCCGTCTGTCATGGCGTAGCTTCAACTTCCGGTCTTAAATGAAAAGGTCTATTGAGAGTTTCTATTTTTTTGAATGCGCAAAATTTTTCTGCTTCTCAACGTTCCAAAAAAAATACAGAATCCTATCCTTTTGAATCGACAAAGTAAATCTTGTAAAAGCGAATTAAAAAAAAAAGCGATTCTTTTCAATCGACTTCAAGCTATTCTACGTAGTCAATTCAAACAAATAGAAATTGTTTATTCTTTTCAATTGACTGCTTCAAATTTTAGAAACGCATTAAAAGGAATAGAACTTTTGACAAACAATTTAAAAAAGCCTAATCTTTTCAATTATTTGTAGGAGCTCCTCTAATTACTGTCTTAAAATAAAACGCAGTGACATCTATTTTTCGCGTCGTATGAATTTCATTGTGATTTCAGTGCTAAATTATTAAAATGAAATATTAAAACTATAAAAATATGGTTAAAAACGCACAGTGCTTACGATAAATTAAAAAATTCTCTTATTGAAATAAATGAAAGAAATTTTCAAGTGTTCAATGTTCGTTTCATTTAGCTCTCTTGATATATCGGATGTGAATTTTGTTATGGCATGTATGGTGGATGTTTTGAAACGAAATCCGAATTGTTCGTATCGTAATAATTTGTTATCTTCAATATATTTATTTAAAGATTTTGTTACTAGAATTTCAAAAAGTTTACCCATATTTGGTAGAAGACTTATGGGTCTATAGCTGCTAACTTTTCTGGGGTCTTTATTCTTTTTCAAAATTGGTACTACTTTTGCCAACTTCCAGTTGATCGGAAAATATCCGTTGTTTAACAAATTGTTAAAAATAATTTAGAGCAATGTAATATAATTATGTGGGACATTTTTTAGCGCAACTGTGGGAATATTATCTACGCCTATTGATTTTTTATTATTTAATTTTCTAATGATTTTTGTAAATGATAAATGATTGTAAAAATAATTAGGGTTATTCTCGAAAATTGGATTAATTGCGGTGTTATGTGTTGAAAAATTTATTTGAGTGTTTGTTTGATTCTTAATCATTTTATTTCTTATTTTAAAATTATCAATTGTTTTGTTTACTATTTGTTCCAATCTTGGACTACTCGAGACTCGATTTTTATTATTTATATCCGCTAGATATTTTGCCAGCACATTTGCCTTATCTGTGGCTTCCGTAATAATTGTGTTTTCAGCTTGGGAAATACATTTATCTACATCTATTGTTTCTTTGTTTATTAACTCGACATTGTCAGATTTTACTATTAGATTTGGTATGTCCGTGTTCGTATTATTTTTGAAAACTGCCTTTATTTGAGGGAACATATTTTCGGGGTCATGGCAACTGATTTGTTCTATTAGGAGGATGTAATAATTAATTGTGTCGCTCAATTTTAATTCGAAAAAAATGTCTTGAAGATCATTTGAAAAATTTGCTCTTTTGCGTCTCCTGGCGAGTACGCACTTATTATATATAGATTCTTATTATTTTTTAATTTTAGTTTTATTATGGTTACTTCAAGATTTTTTAGTTTATTGTGGCAAGCTAGATTTATTTTCTCGAATGTTATAAACTTGTTAATTGTTATGGCTGTCCCCCCTCCCTTACCGGAGGCTCTGTCATCCCTCACTATATTATAATTTGGAAATTTAATTTTGTGTCTGTCCTTCAATTTAGTTTCATTAATTAGTGCTATGTCAATTTTGAGTTTTAACAATGTGTCTAGTAAGTTATATCTCCTGACATTGCACACAATAGAATTGACATTGATTGATAATAATTTTAATTCTTTAAATTTCATTACCTCCCCTCCCCTGTGTTTACGATTTCTACTTTGATATCTATTTTTTGGGTGTTTTTTTGAACCATCTCACGAATATCGTCTATCA